AAACCAACCGGACGAACGGCTGCAAGATTCGGGCTTTTTCTCAGGTCAAGTCAAATCATCTATGTGGAACATGAAATGGAGACATTAGCCACGTACTTTTTATGTAACGGAGCAAGAATACACTTCAGACCAGATGGTTTTGACGAGAAGGTACAACCAAGATGAAGGGTAAGCAGTTCCCGATTATCAGCATTCTGCGACAACTGGACACAAACAGGAATACTGCAGGGTGGTACATCATGGCGTCGTCAAACGGTGCTACGTGTGTTCAGGTGCGAACCAATGATGGTTTTCTTATTGAAAAGCTGGATGGATCCAAAAATTGCCATGCCCACAACGAATGAGACATCTTGCAATTAAGATACAGGGCTTTCTGTCTAGGAGAAGATCAATACGAGAATGTTCCAGCGAGAAACGGTTCTGTAAGTATAGACGGGATGGTAAATATCTATAAACTTTTATTACTAACATTCTTCTGATTCGCAGGCACCTCGTACGTCATTCAATGTCATTCATTGAAAAAAGATCAAGCTTCCAATAAATCACAGGCGACCCCGAAAATTAGGAGCAAACTTTAAATGTGAAGACGAAGCGACTTTCATGTGCATGCATGCGTTGATGTATCCCGTCAATAAATACTAGTCAATACGTACTTCTACGGGCCTCTAAGTAATGCGCGCGGGTATAATTCAAACCTCTGCCCCCATCGGTACCATTACCCCTAAAGCAAATCGTCTCCAGGAGACGAAATTACCACCACTTTGACACGTGTCAGGGCTTCTACAAAAGCACTGAACCAAAACCGAGACCCAAGAAGGGCAGCAAGGCAGCCAAATCAGCTGCCGGTGGGCTTCCTGCTTCACAAACCACTATAGGTGCGGCAAAGGCTCCACCAACGGTAGCTGCGACTCCTGCAGCCCCAACAGCACAAACGCGACAATCAACATCCAGTAAGAAGGTGACAAGGAAAGGATCATCGAAGACCAAGGCCACCGCCAAGACTGCCAAGACTTCGAAGACTTCCAAATCTACCGGTTCGGTTGCTGGACTGCCAAATGCCAAGGCTCTTTCAACAACAGGCAAGTCGGCCTCTGCTAGTGGTGACAAACGAAAGGACCCTCCAACCAAGGCAAAGGATCCACCCAAAAGAGCTAGGCGTTCGAAGTGAGAGTATCTAGACGATGCCACCTCTGGGACTGACCTCAAGCAAGCCTGATACAACCGTGTCTTTTGATATCAAGGTATTTCTTTCTGAGATCCAACCAGCAGCAGTTGATTTGAAACTACTCTACGGTAGCACCAACGATCAATTTTTTGTTATAACTGCTGCTAAAATAGCAATCACTCTGTCTTTGCTCGCGCTAATCTTTGAGCAGATGGAGCACACTCAATCATGTCATGTGTTTGCTTCAAATGGATTGCACGCACTTAATTAAATTGTCCATGATGAAACCAAAGTCAGCACCAGAACAATATCTCCACCAATCAAAAAGCTCCTGTATACCGCTACTAGTAGCCAACTCTTCTTCCCAGCACGATCAAAAAGCAGAAATGGTTGTGGTCTTCGATCTTCGACCTTCGACCTTCGACGAGCGGTACGGATTGTGAAAGCTGTGCGTTGGTGCCGTGCGTGGATGGATTCTCCGAGTAGCCGTTGACCTTTCCTAGGTACGTCTTGAGTTCGTGAAGGGCGCCAGATTGAAGATTCTCTGGATCTACCAGGTACCGGTATATCCGCATTCCCTTGCTATCTCTTTCAAGCATTCGATTCAGCAAACAACCCTTGCCGTCAGCAAAGGTCGTGTGGTTGCAGGACAAGGGTCGTGGACACCTTAACCCTCATGGTTTGGACTACGACTTTAGTCATGGTTGCCAACCACACCATCTCATTATTTGCAAAATCAATTCCCACGCTCCTCACCTACATTGCCAGTACATTCCTACACCTCATCAGTCATTGTCTAGGCTCTACAGTTGGATACCCCAAGGCTCAACACCCCACACAGCTTCCCAATTCCTGTGGAACAAGACTAACCCCTAAGGCAGCGATGTTTCACCAAGACCACGCTGTGTGTCTGACTGGAGCGAAGCAGCAACCAAGAGGTTGTCTCCTTCGTGCCTCAGCTCACAATTCTGCCTTCAGCCGACGCTGCAAGCAATAACCGTTGGGGCGGGCATTAGCTGAGTGCAACGTTCTTGGACAGCTATCGGCTAGCCTACAAGTACCGATAATACGTTGACTTTACCAAAGCAAAGCGGGAGACGATGGAAGAGACTCCAAGTGCTGCCAAGTTGCCCGACGGAGTCCTGGCTGTCAGCACGCTAATCGACCTCATTTCCATTCCCGACGACGACGACGACGACGACAGAAAGATGCTGGCCAAAGCAAAAAGTGCAGACAACGACCAGAACTCCGTCATTTTCATTCCCTCAGATGATGATGATGATGATGACGACGATGATGATGATAGTGTGGTGGTATTGGAACATCCCCCGTCGACTCAGCATTTTGCGACCAGAGCAGAACAAGAAACGAGCGATGCAAAACTGGCAGCTACGCTTCAGTCGGCGGAAACCAAGGCATGCGACCAACGCAAGCAGCAGGATCTGGAGTCCATGAAAAACAGTCATGCGGGTCGAGCCGTCTTGCTTGTGGAGAAGGTGATTCATTTGCTGCAAAAACCAGAATATGTCAAAGAAGGCATTGAACCATTGGGAAAAGATGATGCCGTTTTTCTCGCAGAGCAGGTATTTGCAATGCAAGCAGAGCTTCAACACCAGAACAGCTCAGGCAATAAGACACCAACACACGTCTCCATTGGATACCATTACACGTCGCAAGTGAATTTGGATTCTATTCGCACGGATGGGCTCTTGACTATTGAAGACCGACAAGCTGCCAAGCACACGAATACGCGAAATATTGCTGTCTTTGGGAATGGCATCTACACAGGAACCAGTAAGCTTCATTTTTCACCGCATCGTTCATATTGAATTCTTTCCAACCAACGAGGAACTCGAGTTCATAAGCTCACAATTTCTGATTCATTGTTTCTCTATCATCTTGGATACTTATTAAGATCCTCATGCTTTCTCAAACTATGGGGATGTGGGCTTGCTCGTTGCAGTGCTCAAGGGCACCGAAAAACGAGTAGGAAGTGGAGGAAACCTTTACCAGAAGGAACGCAAAGATGGGAAAATCAATACCGTCATTGGAAACAAAGTATTGGGGCCTTCAAGTCTGGAACCATTTTATGATGAAGTCATACTCCAGAAGAGCAATCAGGTGCTTCCCCTTGTCAAGTATCAACGCAACAAAATACTGCCTGTAGTATCCTACAACAACAATACAAAGTTTGCCGACATGCTTTGGTCGATTCACGAGCGAGTCCAACAAGTCCTGGATGAATACTTCAACGAGTCCGTACCCACCACGTTGACACGTGTCAGCAAGTGAGAGTGCCTAGACAATGCCACCTCAGAGCTGCAAAGGTTTGAAATGCGCCAAGGGCCCAATCACAACGCCGAGACTTTACGTCAAGCCAGGCTGTGCCTTTTGATATGAATGTTTTCCTTTGATTTTGGACTTCTCTATCAACAACTGTAGTAGTCTAGACCTAGCAACAATAATCAATTCCTAAAAGTCAATGTTTCGTTCTAACTGCTGCTATAATGCTCGCGACCTATCTGCCTTTGTTCGTACGTTCTTTGATCGGATAACACTCAATCCTGTGCTTGCCGCATGGATGGATTGCGTGCACTTAGAGTGTCCATGATAAAACCAGAGTAACCAGGACAACAGCTCCGCCAATTGAACAGATCCCGCGGGGTGCCGCCGAAGCGGCAAGCTTGCTAACGGTAGATTCATCTTCCAACACAGCTCTTGTCTCCAGAATCTCATCCAACCAGTTGAAGATACGAGCTGACTGGATGCCCATGGCACCAGGCTGATCATGAAACTGTGCAGCCTCATCGGCACTGAACTTCAAGTAGTCCTTTTTAACAGCTCCGGTAAGCCCTTCGTACAATTCCCAGGCCTGTGCCCGAGTCTCTGCATCTGCATCCACCACCAGTGTTGCTGTGGTGATGTTTCCCATCAAATCGACTATGTCAAACTTCTTGAGCTCATTCATCAAGGTGGATGGTGAATCCACTCCATGATGCCACATACTATCGACGAAACCCCAGTGCAAAAAGTCACTCGTGGACATCATCTTCAGCACTTCTTCATCAAAGGCAGCAGGATCGTCCTCCAGCAATTCAAAGATTTCAGGCCCAAAGCCAAAGGCAGATGCCAACAGTTGGAGCTCTGACTCGTACACACGATGCCAGCTCACCACTATGCATAGGAGAAGGAAGGAGGCGCAATCAATCCAACGATGATGAAAATGTAGTTTCGAACAATGTCACTGTCGGTCCATGTCTGGCCTACCTCCTGGATTGGGGACAAGAGCCTTGAGGCGGTGTTCAAAGCAAGCCGCCCTGGGGGCAAGGAATCCTCCCAAACTGAGTGAGATGAGAGCTAGGTTGTCACCATCCACTTGGGGTTGGTCGATCGCAAAGTCGATTACTGCCGACACAACCTTTTCCCAATCGTGGCGGAATGGCAATCCTTGAAGGCGAATGGTTCTGCCCATGCCTGGTCCATCATACAGAAGCACATGATACCCACGCTGCATGGCCTCGTCCACAACATTCTTGCCTTGGAAACACATATAGCGGGCGATATTGTGAGAAGTGGATCAATGCACATGCATGAACAATCCAACAAGTCATGTCCTATCCACTCTTACCATCTTCCATCCACCCATCTTTTCCCTGATTGTAAATGATGAGAGGAGCCGGGTTGGCAGCATTTCGGTTGATGCAAAGGTATCCCGGAAGGGTTGTGTCCTCATACGGTATCTGAACGGCCTTGCAAGGGTAACTGGTCAAAGCAAGAAACTTTTCAAAGTTATCAACAGCTTGTTGTGTCACAATGGGCACTTCTTCATGGAAGGGGTCCGGGTGGCGATGGAGACTGGACGATACAACGGGAATTGTGAGGCTCTCCATCTCCTGTTGTTCCATTTGATGTCGGGTTACACTTACCTAGCCCTGCGATAGGTTGCCGCACGCAAAAAGCTCTGCCCTGCCGTCAAGTCATGACCTGGGATTGATACCAACAGCACGATGCAGATGGGTGTACGATTCTATATGGTGGCAAAACAAACGAACAGCAGAGCGTCAGACATACCTTCGTCTTCAAACTCTTTGCCCACAGCTTCCAAGCGCTCCGCTGTTTTGGTGAATTCGTCGTGCCAACTTCTTGGATCCGTGTGATTGGTACGATAGATTGTCTCCAGGACTTCTCCAATATCAGCTCCTTGGAAGTAAGTATGACCAAGATAGAACAAGGCTACCTCATCTGCAATGGGATCGCCCAATCCAAATTCCCACCAGTTGTGCTGGGAGATGCACGAAGGGACAAAGGGATCAGTGAGCGGCATGCTGCGTCGTCGTGATGGCGAGATTGCGGCCTTTCATGCACTTACCTGCGTGGCACCGTTGGTTGCTTGGTCCAACAAGGCGCGGTCCAAAGCCAGACTGCACTTGGCAGCCCCAACGAACGTGGTGATGGATAGTATAGCGGCTGTAATTTTCATGCTGATGTCGAGTTTCTCTCGATTGTTGTTTTGTTGTGTTGTGAGCTTGGATGGGGCCGCTTGGTTGGGTTCTCTTTCTCGTTTTCAATCTGATGTGGGAACCAGCAAATGCAAAGTGCAAGACTCCAAACTCGTGGCAGCAGCGTCCCGATATCTTTTTAGTTTGTGCGGATGCCATTGGATCTTTGGATCTATGTTCACGAATAAATGAACGAAATCGCGAAGTTTGCCTTGGAATTAAGATTACGGAAATGTACTCGACGAAGACCAAAAAATCTGTTACATTTTTACGAAGAACGGTGGAGAAAACTAAATTGCTTATAGAGTAGCCATCGCTGGAAAACATCATCCATCAACCACAGCCAATTCCAATCGAGGTGAAGATGAGGAGCAGCCTGTCCTGATGTACCGGTAGCCAGAGCGGTAAGAAATTCATTGTGTCGAGCGCAAGGGGCTCAAGTTCCTAATCACATTCCTCTTCAATACAGCAAAGCTAGACCTTTTAAAAACCTAGCGGAAGGAGAATGATGATTCGATTCCCTCAACAGTTGGCCCCAGCACCGCCAAAGCCAACCCAGAAGCAAGATGTGCAATGCAAGCTGATGATCTGGCTGAAGAGTTAGGCGCGCGCCATGGGGACCAAGTCGGACAAACTGCAGAATACCTTTGATGCCTTGAGGGAGCAAATAAATGGACATGTGTGTTAACGGTCCTTGCCGGTATGTAACGGAGGCACTGCAATGTGTACCGGATTGTTGCTTCTCGCCTGCGGTGCATCCAAAGTTGCCGCCAAACTACAAGGAAGTCGGAGTTGCGCATGTACGCAAAAGAAAAGATTGCAACTTGGCTACACCTTCCTGCTAGCTGCCTCTGACATCGAAAATGCTTGCTTCACGGTTGCGACGAGGACTGGCAAGAGGCGTTCCCCTTTTCCTCAGAAGTAAGTGCAGCGCCTTTCGCTTGGTGCACCAGATCGCTTCCGTGGAAACACGTAGCTGAGAGCGGCGGAGCAAACTTTTACAGAGGGTTCAGTTCAAGTTTCTGGCACTCGTAGCCTGATGTACAGACTGTGGTTACTTGAGTGAGAGGCCTCCGTTCCGCTTGTTCCTTGCCCCTTGCCGTCGAGTTATAACCTCCACCTTGCCGCGTGGCTCGGGTACAACCCCGAACCCAGACTGTTCCCAACCCTTTCAGTCAGCCAGGTTGCCACGTTGTTGATCACCCAGGTTTCTCCGATGTCCTTGGCGAGACTTAAGTCATTGCTCGTTCTCCGTGCATTCGCTGTAGAGTGGTGGTTGACCTCCAAGTAAGTCTTCTGGACACTGGGTTCTGTGAATGTTCTGAGCCACGTCACAGTTGAAGAGAAGTTCAAGCTGCGTTCTCGACTCGTTTGAGCTCACAATTTTGGCAAAGCTTCACCAAATCACAACTCCAGCTTGCCTGTCCGGATCTTGAACAATGATGAGCGCAATGAATAAAAGACGATTGGCCGACGAAGAAAGCAATAGAGAAACGACACGGGCAACGAAGAAGCGCTTGGTTACCAATACCCACGATGGTTCGCCTCGTAAGGTGCAAGTCATTCGAATCTCGTCGTCATTGCCGGATCGAATGCTGTACCATGGTGTGAAAACAGATGTCAGTCCCGAGATGAAAATAGAGCAGATATTGTTGGCATCCAATCTCGACGTGGATTGGACATCGTACACGGAAACGGACTTCTTTTTGCCACCTACGCAAGATGAAATTGAGGCTTACGACTTTGACATTTTGAATGCAGTCCGGGCACAAGACATGGCCACGTTGAGGCGATTCCGCAAGGACGGTAGACCACTCAAGTGCAGTAACAAGTTTGGAGAAAGCATTCTTCATCTGGCGTGCCGCAAGGGCTTTGTTGAAGTCACGCGCTTCCTGGTTCAAGAAGCCGGTGTGCCCTTGGCCGTGTGTGACGACTACGGACGCTCTCCGCTTCACGATGCTTGTTGGCGACGTCATGATGGCCGTACCTTTGAATTGATTGACATCATTTTGCAAAAGTGCCCCGATCTCTTCACCTCTATCCTACGTTCGACGAGAAGACTGGGGAAAATGGAACGAATATCTTCTTCGGAAGAAAGCATCCGTATTGACTCCGAAGCTTTTTGATTTCAAGAAGATTCAGGCATGCAACCATCATCCGAGGGCTGCCTAACAATGCAAACAGCATGGCCAGCATACCGTTGGTCCAAAAGATTGAATTCTCAGCTTTTCAGATCAAGGAATACTCACAGTTTATGTTGCAACTTTTGAAATAGGAAGATTAAAGATTAGTTGTTTGGCCTCATCTGGCACAACTAGACTACCTCAAATTGTACGCATTCGTTGAAAACCTTATCCATCTCATCAGTGAGCGGTCAACGGCCACCGCTGGTACATTGCATGTCCATTCAACAACAGGTAGGAGAGAGATGCTATACATATATGCTCTATTCGGCCACCAGCTTGGGACACGTAGCTACTAGCTAGATTCTGTGTGTTTTTCGGGGAGATACAGGCAGGGCCCCAGCTGTAGTGCTTCTAGGCAGGCGAACAAAAAGAAAAGAGGCCACTGAAAGGTAGAGCACAGTTGGATAAAATAAGGAACCATACACTTGTAGGTAAAATAGCCTCAACCCATCCTTAATTACTTCAAGGTTCGACGAGTTTCTCGTGTCTTGGGATAGAAATATCTAACATATAATCACAGAGTTGCAGAATTGGTGATATCAAAAAATCCATCTGCTTCAGCCAAAACGTCAACATTGAACAAAGTCACCACAGAAGACACCGTATTCCGTCACAAAAGGTGTAGAATTGGTGATATCAAACGATCCAACTGCTCCAACCGAAACGTTAAGGGTGATTTCAGAGAAATCACCGTCACTGGTATATGAATAGTCATCAGTACTGACATAGGAATACAACACATTTTCCGTTTCTGCCATCAGAGTGATCCATCCAGGAACAAATAAACCATCACCGTACTTGTCATGTACAACCAGTTTATACTTGTTGTTGGGGCTGAGCGGGAAGAGAGAGGAGAAAAGAAAATGTGTGATGTCCAATGGACCACCTGATTCCAATGTGTCCCAAATACCAGTCACATTGGTTTCCCTCTGCCAAACCCATGATATTTCTTCTGGGTAATTATCCGTGTAGATATTGAGCACGGCAGCGGCACTTGTGGTTGGAAACCGCCCAGGCCACCCCCATGGAGTCTCTTTGAGGTCAGCACACGTGGAAACAGGGGGAGTTTCATTTTGGGAACAATCACACCATAGAAAAGAACAAAGATGCTCCGGCACAGTTCCTGAGAACCGATTTCCATACAGTTTCAACCCCATGGAAGAATTCAGTTGGCCTGGCAGTGTTCCTGTCAAGCTATTGTTTTGAAGCGCCAGGGTTGTGAGTGATGTCATTACTCCAACTTCAGTCGGGATTGCTCCGGTGAACTGATTGTCGTAGAGATCAAGCTCCAACAACGTTGTCAGGAGCCAAAGCTCCGTGGGAACCGGACCAGTGAACTGGTTGTCATTCAAATACAGCCTGGTCAAAGCAGTACATGCCCCAAACTCAGAAGGAACAGGACCGGATAACCGGTTCTCATGAAGCCAAAGCAATTCCAACGGGCTCAGTTGACCAAGCTCAGAAGGAATTGTCCCCGTCAAGCGATTTTCGTTGAACCTCAGTGTCCACACAGCTGTCCAAAGGCCAAGCTCGGAAGGGACTTGACCGGTGAGCTGATTTTGATTCAGCCAAAACCCAGACAAGGCAGTCAGCTTTCCAAGCTCAGAGGGAACTCGACTGGTGAACTGATTTTGATGCAACAATAACCAAGTCAAAGCAGTCAACTTTCCAAGCTCAGAAGGAATTGGACCGGTGAGCTGATTCTGAAGAAGCGAAATGTTTTCCAATGAGGTCAGGAGCCCAAGCTCTGAAGGAAGCAGACCGGAAAACTGATTATCATAAAGCCGGAATATCTCCAAGGAGGTCAGGAGCCAGAGTTCGAAAGGAAATGGACCGGACAACACATTGTTATCAAGCGTCAGCTGTCTCAATGAGGTCGAGAGCCCAAGCTCAGAAGGAACTGGACCGGTCAATTGATTTTGGGAAAGTGCAAGATTGTCCAGTGAGGTCAGGAGCCCAAGCACAGAAGGAATTTGACCGGTCAAGTGATAATTCCAACTCAAGTCAAGCTCGGACAAGGAAGTCAATAGTCCCATCTCAGAGGGAATTTCGCCTGACAACTGATTATCAAAGAAGTTCAGTATGGACAGTGAGGTCAGCAGTCCAAACTCAGATGGAATTGTGCCAGTGAACCCATTGTTCCGCAACTCCCAATGTGTCAATCCAGCCATCTCGTAAATTTCTGTTGGTAACACAGATACTATTGGTCCAAGAATATCATTGTTCCGCAAGTTTACATGAGACAAGGAAGTCAAGAGCGCAATCTCGGGTGGAACAAATGGTGAAAGACCAGAGATTTGCAGTTCTTCCAGATCCAGAGAAGTGAATTGTCCTTGGCTGTTGCAGGGAGGTGTCAGTGCGAGATTGTATGCTTGATATTCAAGGTAGCCACTTGATCCAAGGTCACCAAACCCACTGGAGTACCACAGGCACTCTTCCACAGTATCATCCATCCATCGCTCTTTTATGAGAGGATTCCAATCTTCGCCCTCAAAGGCATAGAAGAATGTTGACATGGCAAACAACTGGGTCTTTCTCCATTCTGGAAGAAACGTGATATTTTGGTGTTCCACAAGCCATCTCCATGCTCTCCATTGTGGAGTCTCACTGCCGTTGTTGATGCTTGCCAAAGTGTAGTCTGGTAGGCTTTCCAACAGCGTGTCCACAGCTCCAGTGGGGGCAGAGGATGGCACATCAGAGGGTTCCATGGAGCCATAAGCTGTTGGAGCTTCAGTTGACTCAAGGACAACCACATCCAACTCCTTGTTCTTTTGGGTTCCCACAATGAATCCCACAATAATGGCAGCAACCAGCAACAACCAAAGAACTGTTGCAAAGAAAGTTTTCTGTTGCTTTTTCCTTTGGAGTGCATGATGCTGGGCAGCTTCCAGATCTACAGGATTGGCATGCATCAGATCAGCCGTATCATCATCTACGGCATTAGCTTGTACCAACCCTTCATTTGTCAATGTCCGTGCAGCAGCACCAGTACCAACACTGAAATCTTGTGGACCACTATCAGTGCCCGGATTTGCACCAAGAAGGTCATAGTTTAAGTTGGGGTTTCGTTGCATCTGTCCTCCTGGTGCGCCAAGGAATGCACCCGGCTGAGATTGTGGACGCATCTGAGTTGTTCGGTACAAGGCAGGTTGTGGGAAAGCCTCGACTGCTGTGGGGGCCTCTAATGTATTTCGTGGTACAGTATCTTGTTGTTCCCTCACAAGAGCAGCTTCTTGTCCATTGGATGGGACAGTGTCATCTGTGTTGGCGTTGGCTGCATTGGCAAATTTTTCCATCTTGGAGGCTTCAGTGATTTCCACTGCCAGCTGCATAAGGTGGTTGCTACCGGTAGCAGTGTTTGTTTCTCCCTTATGGAGATCTTCTTTGGCATTGAGACGTTCCGCAACTGCCACACTGGCCCGACCAGCCACAATCTCCATGATTTCCTCTTCTCTGGACTCACTTGTTTCTTGGCTGAGATCTTCTTTGGGGACTGCCAAACTGGAGGGACCTGCCACACCCTTTTCGTCATTTTCTTGTTGTTGAAAGACTTGTGAGGTCACATGGCCAGCAACTGCTGTGTCGAGCAGAGTGGGCTCTGTCTTCCTGTCAACTTGTTTTTCGTAGCCATGTGCATTTGCCGTGGCATGAATGGATTCCTCTGCCTGATACTGTTGGGCCTCCAGATTTGGTCGGTTGGTAAGAATATCGAGTACCACAGTGTCAACATCAACTTCGTCGATACGACCACTGGAATCATCCAAGTGGGAATTTTCCAGTTTCTTTTCTTTCATGGTACCGGTACCCGTACTAGTTAGCCATTACCGTAGCCAGTGCTCAGTGCTCAGAAGAGAAGATGTCTACGGGTTAGTATTGGTGACAGCAAAGCAATACGTCTATTACTAGCTACTAGTAGTGGTAAAAGATTGAGTGCCGTTGGAACAACTCCAGTTTGCTGTTGTGCAGCACAAGAGAGAAAAGTGCCCTTGCAATTGATGGTTTGCTCACAATCGTCACTGCATGCATTTTTTTTTTGTCAAACAATGTCAAATCAAATCGTCGCTGTCTAGATCCAGTGTACATGCATGTATCGTCGTGATTCTTCAAGTAACCTTCGCCTTTTAGTACCTACAAGTACGGTAGACAGACTACCCCATTCGCCAAAGCTTTTAAAAAGATTATGCAACAGAGCTGCTCAATAACCCTTTTTTGTGTCTATTTTTCATTGGACTTGACCTGCTCGAGTTTCGAAGGACAATTTACGGACAGTCACAAAGTCGGTACTCTCGTCGCCGCCCAAACAAGCACGGGAACCGGAATTGAAACCTTCGATGTCAGATAGCTTCGCTTTGGGTAGCACCAACGGATATCTATCTACACATTGCAGCCATGATCCTTCTGGTCAGTTCACTTTGATACATGACAGGAGTGTCACAGAAACTGTGTCTTCGGATCACCACAATTGTAGTACAAATCCGATGCGAAGTTCCCAACTGAGGAGATGATTGCGTCAACGTTTCTCTTGCCTCACAAAATTGAAAATCACAGGTACTGTAGCCCTCCACAGCAGCTATAGCTCCAGGTGAAAAAGTTGCATTCGCTTAGCTTAACCTTGTCCAATCAACCATGTCGGATCTCAGTGACATTGAACAGGGCATTGACACGCTAGAAACTACTGGGATGAGCACAACGAATGGCGACGGCGGCGCCCCAACCCTCGTCGGTCCGGTAGTCTCGATGAATTGGGCACCAGCCATCCTCCACAACACGTCCTCGGGCTCTTTGAACAATTCCTCGACCGTAGACTCTTGGCGAGCTGCGCACGACAATGACGATGACAACTACAGCTTTCCAAGGGCTCCGTCTCCAACTCCGCCTACCCAGATTCATCGAGAACGGGTTCGGCAAACTACAGGTAAGCACTTAGGCGATTGAAGGAAACTGTGTGTCTGTCTACCCCAGCAATGATGGAAACATGCACCTCACGTCGGGCTTTCCCTGCGTCTCAAGATGCAACCATGATTATGAGCAATACAGCTCAGCACGTCAACGACTTCTTCTTCACGCCCCATGTGGCGGAAGGTTGCAACGGACAAGACAAGGACGCTGATTGCAAAGGCAATGAAGTAAAAAGACAAGCAAGTCAAGCAATAAGTGACACAATCTCGTCGCCCCAACCTGCTCAGCCTCAAACCTGGGGAAGAGGAATCCTGGAAGATTTTAGGGGAACAGCCGGCAAGTACTGGAAGCAGGAGATGACCAATTTTCAACCAAAAACCGTCGGCGTATCGCTCTTCCTCTTCTTTGCTTGTGTCGCTCCTGCGATTACATTCGGGGCAATGTATGGCAAAATGACGCATTACAGGGTTGGAACGGTGGAAATGCTCATCGGTACCGCTTGGTGCGGAATCTTCTTTGTCCTCACGGGTGGACAGCCAACGGTAGGTTATTGAGAGAGAGTTCTAGCTAGAGTCTCTCTTGCTTACATACATGTACTTGCAGTTGACCAACTCAACATTGCTCCGCTTCACTCGTCCTATCTCATCTCAATCGTCGAGCAGATGATCAATGGTGGAACTGGACCTGTCTTGGCATTTGCTGGAGTCCTCTACAAGTTATCCGAGTCCATGTCAGTTCCCTTCTTGACGTTCAATGCCTGGTGTGGACTTTGGGTCTGCTTCTACATGATGTTGGCAGCAGCAACGGACGCCAACCGAGTCATCCGATTTGCTACGAGATTCACAGACGGTATGTCATTTTGCAACATCTGGCTAGCTAGACTTTTGGCTGATACTCGTATCTCATTCCTCTCCCCGCCTTGATGTCTTGCCTTTTGCTTTTGTAGAGATCTTTGCCCTCTTGATTGCCGCCATCTTTGTCGTTGAAGCCTTGGGAAGCCCTGTCCATCCTGTTGGAGTCTTCTATTACTTTGACCCTTCTCATGAGTCACACCAAAAGCATCAAGGTGACCCGGACTACAGCTACATGGAAACCGCATTGCTCAGTCTTTTGGTGATGTTGGGCACAATGTTCCTTGCTTACTTTCTCCGAGGTGAGTGGATCGACTTGGTTCCTTGTCCTCGCAATGGCCACTCCAGCTCCCCCTGTTCTAACGACAGATGCATTTGTCCTTCTCAACCAGACATCAAGTACACGACATACTTGTGGCATCCTTCGGCTCGGAATGTATGCTCAGACTTTGCCATCACACTCTCCATTCTGACCTTTACTCTGATTGCACATCTTGGCTTCCCCAGCGTTCCGCTGGAAGAGCTCAAGGTTCCCGACACCCTAGCTCCAACGCTTGTTTGCTGCACGGCCTCTTGTCACCACAGTTGGCCCGACGAGTGCCCAGACATTGCGGATCCATACGGAAGGCGCCCGTGGTTGGTCGATCTATTTGATTTGAATGGCAAAACCTATGTCCCCTTTGTGGCGGCGGGTCCTGCGATCCTTGCTTTTATCCTGATCTTTCTAGACGACGGTGAGTTGCCTTTACCGGTACCGTTGTCAACGAATCAAGCCCCTCTTTCTAACTTTGCTTATCTGCTTTGTTTGATAGGAATCACAAAGCACCTCATGAACCATCCCTGTCACAAACTCCAGCACGGCACCGCGTACAACTATGACACGGTCATTATTGGGGGAATGATTGCTGTGAATAGTATCCTTGGTCTCCCCTGGCTGGTTGCGGCTACTGTCCGAAGCTTGAATCACCTCCATGCACTTGCCGATAAGTCAGCCGATGGTAAAACCATCTACTCGGTGATGGAGACGAGACTGACGGGTCTCTTTGCACACATTTTGATCTTGTGCGCTTCGATGGCGCTCGGTGCCATCCGCCTGATCCCCATTCCTGTTCTGTACGGGGTTTTCCTGTACATGGGCCTTACGACTCTTCCCACCAACCAGCTTTTCAACCGCTGCTTGCTGTTCTTGATGCAACCATCGCAGTACGCGGATGCCAATGTGGAGCCGTTTATCGAAAACGTAAAAACGTGGCGCATACACCTCTTTACTGGAATTCAGTTGGTGCTGTTTGGGTTGCTGTATGGGATCAAGAGCGTCAAACCCATTGCTGTTGCCTTTCCTATTGTGATTGCCAGCTGCATCCCCATTCGTCTCTACTTGCTGCCCAAGATCTTTACCGAGGATGAGCTCGTGTTGATGGATAGCGGAGACGACGCCTTGGTGGATCGGTGGCTGGATGACCACGGAAGGACGAGACAAACGAAACTTGTTCCGCTCAAGCCGTACAAGGACGACGAAATGCATCATAACTCGATCTGTGGGGGTGACGAAAGGAACAGTCTCTCCTTGAAGAGTCGAGAAACGTGATGCAGTGCGACACTGACACAAAACGGACGATTTTGAGCTACGGATCAGGCGTCTGGCTGAGTGCAAAAGAGACACGCGTCAAATCAATGTTACACTGCAAACAACAGAAGAATGTGAAAGTGGATGAAGGCGAAATTTCTAGCTAGCTAGGCGATTGTACTACGGTCGGTATCTAGAAGAAGAAACTGCTCGTACGGTAGTACCTTTACAGTACCTATCGATCTTTCTACGTTTGCCAATCTGCCTTGTCCGGATCCCTGACCCGGTTCACTCCAGTCACTCAACGCACCGACTACGAACCAAGTGCTCTGCCATCTTGCGAGTGGACACTGATTATAGAACTTAATCCCTCCGGGGACCTTGTAATTCCTAAGTTAAGGACACTGCCAAGCAATTACCATCCATCATCAAGCAAAAAAACTCTTTCTGACGAGCAATGAACTTTAGAAGTCTTATTGACAGATCCTCTAGAGCTGGCTAGCTCATAGCTCCCACCACAGCTCGAGTGCATGCCGGCATCGGTCAGGACTCTTGACTCGTGACCTGGTGTGAGCGTGGGAATGTGGGAATCTTCCCACGGTCTCCTTCCTCTTCGGCATGAAGCATGGAGACACAGTGTTGGTGAAGGGTGGAGGACAAGGGGCTAAAGGGGCTCAGGGGTACACAACGTGCAAACTGGATGCGGCTGACGGGTGCACCGCGAAAAGAACAGGAATGTAAGATTGAGTGGTGCCTTCTTCCAAGACCTTAAGTAATACATTATCGCCATTTGCTCCAACAAGATTTGTTCACAGTCTTTTGGCAGTCTTTCATTTTGAAAGTAAGTCACAGCTAGAGTTCAGCCCAAGTCGTGGAATTTGTTTCGAATGACTGATTGGAAAGATTCGAAGGACACTCGAAACTCTCTCATAAGCCTCAAAAATCAGAAATAAAGGGAGTTGTTCACCCTATGGGCGACTTTGATTTATCAGATCTCAATCTCTTCGTCCAACAATGCCAAAAATGAGACGGTGAGACATTTTGACTATTGAAGTTCACGAATCCTTCCAAAGCACCAATACACTGTCCAGTCAAGCCGTAAATAAAGGCTCCTCAGCAAGCATGCCTATAATAACAGTCCTACAACTCATGAAGATGATGACATGATAACATAGATAATCTTAACGAGTGACATAATTTGAGCTTCCATTTTCAGGACAACTTATTGCTACTTGATCAGGGGGTATCCAAGAGTAGGTATCTGTGCAGGATTGGAACATGAGGAACATGTACTGTGGAAAATTAGTGGTCTCGAGTATTTCTCGTTAGTAAATACCAGTTGTACCGGTAGCTGGTCTGTACGAAAACAAAATTGTGTTTCATCAAGACCGTCAAAAGCGGTACTACTAACTACAGAGTTAAAAAGTACTCTTGTAGCAAAGGCCTTCTTCAGAGGACTGTCAAGAGACAGTAAGCGCAATGATACTGTTTGACTATAGGTAGCTTTGCAAGATCCTTGTAGATACCAGCGATGCGGATGCTTGAGCTATCCTTTGTCGGCTTGGTGGCTCTTTGTGCTTCTTGCTACTCGAGCTCACAATTTGGTTTTGCCAAAAGAAACAACGGCGCCCCATCCCTCACTTTTCCGCTATTTTAGCTAGCTAATTATAACTATTAGCTATCCAACAATCATTCCACAATGACAGCCTCAACATCACCTGCTACCAACAATGACAGGAACGACAATGCGATGGATGCATCTTCTTCTTCAGCCTTTCCTGAATTTCTGTTTATGAGGAGACCTTCCAGACCCATGGCTGACAAGAAGCCACTGGCTTTGCCTGCCATGCCCAACATTTCGGGATTTCTCTTTGGACTGTGTTCTACTACTACTAATACTGCTGCAGAACCACAGCCATTTGACGAGGATGTGTCCGAAAGACAACAACAACCAGGATCAGACAAAAAGAAGAAAAAGAGCAAAAAAAGCAGCAAAAAGTCCAAAAAAGCTAAAGACAGCAAAGCTGCGAAAGACACCGACGATGACGATAACAAGCCCAAACGCAACTCATTTTTGTCCGTCATGGAACGCCTGCTCAAGAGCAAGAACGGCAAAGACCTCATCAAGAAACACGCCAAGGCACCCAAAGTGGGACACTCATCAGCAGTAGCAGCAGCCAAAGCTCAACCAGACAAGAAGAAATCGAAGAGTTCCAAAAGGAGCAAGAGTGAGACCAAGTCCAGGAGTCGAACCAGGCCCAAGCGGGTCAGCTGCAGTGAACGATCCGCCACGGCTCACATGGACGAAAGCATGTTTGACTGGAGAGAATACCGATGCAGTCAAACCAGAAACTCACAGACGGCGCAACATCAACAGACTATTGTCGTGGAAGACCAACAGCGACGATAGGTTGCAATCTAGAAGGTTGCCGTCTGGCTAGATTTGCTTGCTTTGTGCAGGAAGGATCCCAACAATGCTATTTATCCATCTGAATTACCATAGCAACGCCTATGCTGTGGTGGCAGGACAAATAAAGAAAGGATGGGTGCATGGGCGGCAACGCCAAATGCCAAAAACACTAGGGGTTTGACGCGTAAGAGTAGCTCCCTGGCCGTAGAAGGACCCAGGTATAAAAAGAAACTAAAGCTCACTCAATACTGTCACACTACTCCTCTATCATACTCTACTCTAAAGCTAGCCAGCAGTCGTACCGGTATCGGTACGGTACCCCATACCGCGGAGTATCCTCAGCCACCGTACGCGGTTGGGTCTCTTTTTCTAATTGGCACAGTGGTTGATGTTACAGGCAAGCAAAAACAGCTCATTCAGTCCTGAAGAGACTGTGGGATAGGCAAGGGAAAGATCCACGACAGGAGACTTGACTTGGAGCCGTGGCAATTCCTTCAGAACGACAAGAAAGCCGCACGTAACCACCCTCTAGAATGCCTCGTCTCGAATTGTTCACCGATGCCCGGTTTCCTGAGCCAATCCAGCTTCTGGACTTCTACCGCGCAAGCAACTGAAGACATCAGCAGAGCAAGCATGCATGCTTGGCCGTACCTGTAGAGCACCCCTGCCTCGATGGATGGCATTGTGATTGCCCAGGCTAGGGACCTTTTGCCAGGCCTTGCTTCTGCTGTCATGTCTCACATCTCTAAAGTGTGACTTTTTAACTTTACTGTTACTGTATTGTACTGTATGAGATCAAATAAATAATAATGATATGCACCACGAATAACTCAGGAAACAAATCGCCGTTCAAACTGGCACGGAAGCAACGGAAGCAACGGCACGGGGTATACTGCACTGTACATGTAGGTAGGTTGTCAATCATGTTATATATTGTCGTGAATACTCTCTCTTCATGGATGGTTCAAATCAATCAATCAAATCCGGGATAACACATGGTAGGACGAGCCACACTCAACCGAGGAGCCGCCGTTGGTTGGTTCGTGACAAAGTGTTCCCAATTGTCCAAAATCTCTGGTGGTATCCATCGAGAGCCATGGTAGGCGGCATAACCAAACATGACTCGTTCTGGTGCTTTATTCTTTGATTGTTCCTCTTTAGTTTTGTCGTTTTCGTCGTCATTGGCTTTGTCGTCGTTGTTGTCGTCGTCGTCGTCCGTGGCAAGAATGGGTTCGTACTGAGCCTTGCGCATGGACGGTTGATAGGCATTGGTACTTCCAAACATTTGCGTCACGTTGGCATAGTCATTGTCGTCGTTGTTGCTTTGGTCGTGACTCAGTGGGGAAGCTGCACGTAGAAACTTGACGGGAGCAATCAACAGAGATGTCAGGTGATCCGAAAAACGTCGCTTTTGAGGCTGATTGGCCATTTTCATCCTGCCGTCCAAGACTCCCTCTGTCTCATCGACAATCTCGATTTCGGCAACGCAATCGTCGCCGTTGTTCATGTTCATGTTGTTGTTGTTGTGATTGGAATAATACGCGGGATAGTAAAACGCGTTGACACTGCTGCTGTTGCGGGCTTGGACCGTCTTGGAATCACAGTCATCTAGTTCATCATCGTCAAGTGGTTCTTCCACCAATTGCAAAACGTCATCTGGTTCACCAATCTCGAATTGATCGTCAGGAGACATCATGTTGCTTTGTATCAATTCTAGCTAGGGGTTGGAGTGTCTGCGACAAGTGTGTGTGTGTGTGCTGCTGTTGCTTACTAGCTAGAGTAATAGCGGGAGGTGGGTGCTATTCTTTTGTGGTGGTTACAAGCGAGAAACTTTTGCGTGTTGGCCAATGATCAGCGGACTGACGAAAGGAACTGCGTTTTGGCTTCGCTACTTCGTGGGAAACACAATGAACGGAACGATATTCCATTCGTTTGGGTCCAAAATCGTCCCAAAAGAAAACGTGTGTTTAGATGCTTCAAAATTTTGATTGAAAGTGCGGTGAAGTTCTGCGCGAAATTGCGACAGACCTGCGCGCAGGAATTTCGGTCACACTTGCCAAAGTTGGTGGTCGTGCAATCACAATGACAATCCGAACGTGATAATCATGTAGCTGCCTTTCTCCTACAGGGAATAATGAATGCTCAGCGGCCACAGTAGCTAATAGCAATGGGGGAAGCTAGCTAGTGTCCCATGGGGCTTGACCAGCCTGCATCTGGAAGCTTTGCGACATACTTTGACTCCCGCACCCAGCATACCAAATCGCTCTTCAAATGAACCGGATTGATCCGACCAAAACTTCTCGACCTACTACTACACTCGTGTCGTCATCTACTCGCCGTACTGTGTCAACAATGAGATCGATCTCTGGTTTACAAAAAGCAAAACTCGAGTCAAGGCGCTGATCGAGTTACATGTAGTAGCGTCGAATTAGTGGCAGATGCTGAAACAGGGAGAAGTCGCTCACTCGGAGGGGGGAAACAATTGCAACAACGGGCACGGGCACTATTTGATCGCGAGATCAAGGGCAGGTAACGTCTCCATCGCAACTCAAGAACCCTTGCTTGTGGAGGGACGTGCCGTGATGTCGTGATCATCACTGCTGTCCGGAACCACAGCACGACTGCAGGAACGGAGCAAGCTGATTCATTTCGAGAACGTTAAGAATGACGAATACACCTTGGCAGCCCCACGCAATTCAAGGCAAAAGTCATGTTCCGCGCACAAGTCTCATCTGCAACGTGCAAGCTCCTCAGTTTGCTTTCTTGCTACTAGCTAGGTACTGTCTGTACTCTGAACCAGTAATGTATTTCAGAAAATGCATGTTCCATAGAGAGCTCATACAATGAGCAACACTTCAAAAGATCCTTTCAGGTAGCTGACTCTTGGCATGGATGGGGAGCTGCTACCGGTACCGGTATTCATAGCTCCTGTGTGGTTGTGTCGGTGACGATTCGGAGAAACCAACTTGAAGAAAGAAAAGAACACTCCGGAGAAAGTAAGTTTCCAGGCCCTTCACCGAAACCTCGCCGGTTCACCGTTAGTTGCGGTAAATATATTTCGTTAAAGAAAAATATTGGTAAGTAGACTATACACTGACTTTAACCCTAAAATTACCTAACCTACCCAGCTAAAACTGTCTGCTGCTTTTCGGCCTTTCAGTAACCCAATCGGCTTTTCCAAGAAGCCCCACGGTACCGGTGCGGTACCGTACCTGCCAAATGACAATGCGAACACTACTAGTAGCTAGCGACGAAGGAAAGCTTCTCATTTTACAGTTTTAATAATTGAAGATTCATTCACAAACTATCATACTGAAAGCACTATTAATTAATATTTTATGGCAAAGGTAAAGCAGCGATCGATATCAATCGAGAAATATGCTGAAGAGCGACAATGATGATGGTGCCGCACCAGTAGAGCAAGAGCACGATGATTATCAAGACGCAGTCGTCACCAGCACTATGCATACAAAGCCTTCAAGTCCTCCTGTTGCTACTGTCGCGTTTCCGCCTCGCTTGGTCGACGTCAACGAGAATGCCTCTATCGCGGGCCGCTCGGGAATCTCTTCGCTGACGTCACTTGCGGAAATGTACCATAATCACCATTTGTACCCGAACGTTCCAGTAGAGTTGCTAGCAGAGGATGCTGCGGACAGTGTAATGAGTTTTCCAACTGGTACCGGTACAAGTGCTGGCACAGCCACTACCTCTGGCCTTACTCCAATTGCAAGTCATGCACCTCTGCCTCTTCCAACCACCAACAGCTTGGTTATCAATAGCATAAGGGCAATTACAAAAGACTCAGGAGAGCCAGCAGAGTTGGAGGCACTCCAAGATAGAATTGCCAAAAAGATCATTGCTGATGAACCTACAGTGTATAGCTCAGCCAGTGGAACGGGTACCACCAGTACCAAACTCAAAGACACACCAAGTAGTCCTGATGGACCACTTATGCATAGTCCTGATGGTACAGGAGCCCGTATACATACTTGTACCTCACAGAGACCATACAAGCTTGGAGGTACCAGTACCGGTAGCTATGAAGTGCCTGCTGACTTGTTGGAGGACTTGCATGTTCTTGATGTGGGTACAGAATGTGCAGACACATGTGCATCTTCCAGTGCCACAGAAAGGGACAAGATCAAGAATCCAGAGGTTGATGATGCCAGCCCACTAGACACCACCACCAGCAGCAACAGAGACGACGGTTTATCAGGTAATATTCTCACCAATTCGGATTCGGATGCTCCAACCCAAGTTCAGATTCCAGGAGCCTACGCCGAAGCAGGATCCTCCAACGCTCCACAAGCCATGTCATCGTCGTCCCAATCAGAATCTCGACGGCTCCAGGCCACTGCTCCACAAACAACATTGGCGTCTCAAGACCCATCTCCAGATGACTCTGGGCTGGTACGAGCATCGCTGGTGCAGGAAGACGAACGTTCACATTTGCCCGTCGCACAAATCATGGAAGCTTCAGCCTCTGCCTCTGGTGGCTCCACTGTCCAACAGCAATCACAGGATGGTTACAAGCCATGCCCACGCGGCATGAGCAAGGAAGCAAAAGTATTCCTCATCGTCATTGGCTTTCTTTTGGTAATATTGGTGGTCGTGGTGGCGGTCGCCGTAGCTGTTCGAGATCGGAAACAAAGCAGCCACGTGGACCCTGCGGCAGATCGAGAAACTGCAATCAAGAATCGCATTGCCGCTGCATTGTACGGACGCAGCTACAATCTAACCCAACAGTCCCAGCTTCTCTCGTCCAGAAGTGATCAAGATAGGGCGCTCCAATGGATAGTCCATCACGATCCCATGCACTTGTCCCCAGATGCGAATCACTTGCTCCAGCGGTACTTCTTGGCATACTTCTACCATGCCACCACGCAACAATGGCCCTGGACTTCCTGTAATGATCCGCAAGGGGACGAACCGCAAAGCAACCACGAAAACCAGTTGTGCTTTTATTTGCAATACGTGGGTGATGGGACATATATCCCTGACTACACACACAGGCCACAGGACTTTGAAGAGACCATCGCCAACAGCTGGCTATCGCCATCCCACGAATGTCAATGGGCAGGAGTTTTTTGCAACGACGCCAACAACCGCAGCAAGACTGACTCCCTTAGCCACGAGAAAGAAGTCACCGATATCAGACTCGACAACATGAACTTGACGGGGACCTTGCCAGAGGCGAGGGAGTGGGGTTTGGTGCCAGAGTTGCGGGCTCTCTCACTCACCTACAATGGTTTGACTGGCACGCTGCCAGAGAGCTTCTATTCCTTGACCCACTTGAACCTTCAAAATAACCAATTGACGGGAGCATTGCCCGTCACATGGTGGGCGCCGCCGCGCACGAGTCCACGACAGCAAAAAGACCACGACGGCGAAGAAGAAGAAGAATCTATTTTGGAGTATGTCAACGTGGAATTCAATCGTCTGAAATGGGGACAAATCCCAACCGAGATCGGGCTCCTTAGCCAGTCGCTCCGATATCTCCTGGTATCGGGCACGGGCATAACTGGCACGCTACCGGAGGAGATCTATCAGCTGACCAACTTGGGTGAGTCAACGATTGGTGGCGTTTGGTGGCGAAATTTGTCGGCTCCTGAAAGCTCATTTCTTCTTTTGTCCATTCGCATAGTATTTCTTTTTCTTCGTTTGAACGACGGGATAACCGGCACCATTTCGTCATCACTGGGTATGCTGTCCAATTTGGAAGTATTCACTCTCATGGGGGGCACAAACATGGGCGGCACCCTCCCATCCGAAATTGGCCTTTTGACTACGGTAGTGGAGTTCGATACATGGGGGGCAGGGTTGCAGGGGACGATACCGGAAGAGCTTTACTCCCCAAACATGAACATCAATGCTTTGATCCTAGGCCAAAACAACTATTCGGGAACTATAAGTAGCCACATGGCAAAGCTACCTCGGCTGAGTTATATTCTCTTGTCAGGCAATACCCTAATGTCTGGCACAGTTCCGTCGGAACTGGGATTGATGACTGAGCTGGTTAGGGTTGATATCGATGGGACGTCTATTTCTGGTGTTATACCGAATGAAGTTTGCGCACTCAGAGGTGACAGGAAGCTCTCCAAATTCAAGGCCGACTGCCTGGCAAACAGCAACGACAGCAACAGCACGGAGGAGCCATTCATCCCGACAGTGTGTCCCGACGGATGCTGCACGAAATGCTGCCAACGAGATACTGGGGAATGTGTCAAAACGGGTTACTGAGGGACATCTCATTCAGCACTCGAGTCAGCTCAGCAATCAATCCGCTGGTGCAGCTTCTATCGGGAGTGCTACAATCCACAGGGAGGACAATCAAGCCACCACGCATCGGTTACGAATGTCACTCAGGAGGCAAACGTTCGTTGTGCACGCGTTGGCTCCTTGACTTCCAGCATTCTGACAGGTTCTTCGACCTCGATCGCGGTTGACGAGTCGGGTCGGCAAATTAAAGAGCAGAGAGTTTTTCGTTGGTGGTGACACCTGAGCGTTCTTGTACGGTGTAGGGACCGGACTTGTACATCCACCGTCATTGTTTGCGGGTGCTGGCCTGCTACAAATTCCAAGTGAGGGTTGAACAGTCTGGGAAGTGGTACTAGATTTTAGCCATTTTCCATAAAGAACCATGGCAGACAACAAGCCCACAACTAATCCAATTCTGACGACCTCACCACTGTTTCAAAACGGTTCCCTGATACTGCCCAAGGATTTCAGGCCATGCGAGCATACCGTGACAATTGGTCGTGGCCGTCAGGTGCACAACCATCTTGGCAACCAAAGGTACCGGTATCAAGCAACCCTTGTAACGTTGCTCTGCGGGCAGTGCTGGGAGCAATGAAATTGCTGGATTTGACGAGACAACTGGAACCTGAACCACCTCAAGCTGGAAGACTAGCTATCGGCACTAAAGTAGTGAAGCTATGAAGCCAACTGCAATGCTGCCAGGATCTCCTCCACTGATGGTTGTGCACCAAGGACAAGGTCCATTCCTCTGTCCCCCCAACAAAGACTAGTAGAGTTCCTGAACAAGCGGAACAACCTGAACGAGGTACCAATGGGTCTGATTGGTTTGACCGGTTGTGCACTCTGATTGGTCCTACTATCGAAGATTTGCCAGTTAAAGAGCACGATAGCTGTTTTGCCGCTTGATTTCAGAAACAACATATGTACAGCTAAGTTCAATGACAAGGTCAAAGCAGTGGGAATAGTGGAGCTGGCTAGCTAGCTAGGCATGGACAAGATGAATTCTCCGCACATGTTAGTTGTGCGTCCTGAACCCTAGCTAGCTGGCCCAAATGTCCCTCCGGCACTTGGCCTTCCAATGCGTTTCCTGTTTCGGGGTATTCTTGAGCTTTGATTGAGCAGGAGCACAGTACTAGTAATCTTGATACCGTAATAACAAAACTGACTGTGGTTGTTGATGGATTGGCTGGGAAACAGTTACTGTGTTGCAGGGACGCTCCAACCACGACAGCTTCCCTTAGAAAGCCGAGTTCCACGCACGCGGCCACAAATTGGAGTAATGCGGTGGAATACAAGTTGCCGATGTTGGGGGTGCAAAGGGTCTGACACCTGACACGGTCGATGGCAACTGTTCCGGACGACATACTACCCAATAGTACCAGTACTTTGACGGAAGTCAGCCGCGGTCGCTCGGTGGCTACTGTTCCGTAAAGCAAGTACGGTAATAGCTAGAACGTGTACGTACGTGCTTCTGTGTCGATTGAATCAGAATCTTCAATCATTCAATTCCCCATCCAAAGTCCCAACTCAGCATATATGCGGAGGACGGGTAATCATTTGTTGTTTGAAATTATTAAATCCCCCTTCTACTGGACAAAGAAATCTTTCCCTTTGATTTCAGGCTTCCGCGACATCATCTTCCAACTGAGACTTATTAGAGGGTCTCTCTTCTACAGTAGAAATGAGAAGGCCCAAATAAAGACTGGCTGTCCAATGAAACAGGAGAACAGCGCGGGGAACCACTTTGCAAAAACTCCGACAAAACGGCTTTGACCACACTTGTTTCTTTTGAACACAAGCAACCTGCAAGTGGCAGCCATAGAGGTATCCATCCTGTCCATCATTTCATTAGCTCATCAGCTTCTTGAAAGCTGAAGCTTATCCATTGATACCCTACTAGCTAGCTAGCTAGCTAATCCCTTTCAAGCTCCTCTTAACCTGCCAAAAGCTATAGGTATAGGTATAGGTATAGGTAAGGTGCGAGAGGAGCCAAAACCAGCTGGTGGTTGGCAATCACGAGGTGAACCTCCCGGGACTCGCTAGAACGAGGTAGACG